TAAACCCAGTCATGATGCACCATTGTCTTATCTATTCTGGGCCTACATTTTCGTTACTTTCTTCTGAGTAGATCTGCTGGGGAAATATCCTTATCCTCAGAAGGCTGGAAATCTAGTCTGTTTGGCCAACATCAAGTGCCTGGAAACTCATTGGGGGGAAGTGTCATAGTACTGAAAATAAAGTTGTTGATACTCAGATGTACTTGTAGGAGAGACCAGAAGAACCAGCAAGCAAATTGCCCTGAGCTAAAACAGTGGAGACAATGAGGAGAAAGAGGAGACTAAACAAGCCACAGGCAATTTTTACCTTCTTAATAATCTTACACAAAAGCCTAAGTGCTCAGTGTCCTCTGTGGGGAACAGGGGGAGAATGAGGCTCCCTGATACCTTTGACCTTTTACCTTCCTATCCAATAGGAGCTGTGCATACCTCTTCCTGTCCTTTTGTTGGTATCTATGTGAAACTTTCAGCAAGAGAGTCCAAAATTAAGCATTTAAAACAGCCTGCCAGGCATATTTGGAAAGAGTATTGCTCATAAGTTATGTTCTTTATTTTGCTTATTCCATTTCATGAGCCTGGACTGTATTCTTATACTCTGTTCCTTTTTCTAAGAAATTTTTGTCCTTTTTGTCATTCTGAACTAAAAATGTAGAGAGGGAAGCATTGCCATATGTCATTGTTCAGACAGAACCAGAAATAATGTTGACTTCACAGCTGAACTTAGCCCCAATCAGAAGGATTGCCTTTGTTTTCTCATGACTTAGGGGGTGGGGAAGCCATCACATGCTTCAAAATGCATTTTAATGAATGTTTATAAGGTCATGGGGATCACATTGGTAGCTTTGTCTGCCTGATTATGAAATGGGACTCTGCAGGCAACTATGTATGGAGAGAAACTAATTCATTTCTACCACCAAATGCAGGACCTGCAGGGGCTCTGGCTGAAAGTTGGGACATTTGAGGTCTAGGATCCTTATCCCTTAACTGACTGTATGGCCAAATGCAAATTATAGCCCCTTCTGTTTTCTGTAGAAGTAGAGGGTTTAGATCTGCTCTCTAGGAATCCTACCAACATCTATGGCTTCACTCTATGTCACAGACTCAGGGCAGGAATCTGTGTAATATGTGGACTGAAGGAAGCAAGAAATGGCTGATATCTAGAACTAATAGCTTGCTGTCACTGAGACCACAGAGATTGGAAAACAGCACACTTAGAAAATGAGAAGATTTGTTTACAAAGGTCTGGAAGCTTGGTCGGGGACATTGGGAAAGGAAGTCTTTCCAGAGGAGTGAGCTCTCTTGATCTGGTGTATTTGATTTAAGACAGTGGCCATGGAATTCAGTAGAAAACATGTGACCTGGGCAGGTAGAATCTCAGCAACAGCACCCATTGGCCCAGGAGACCTGGCAAAGTTGCCAGTGTGGCAGTGGGCATGGGGAAGGCCTAGCCAGCCTCTCACAATGAAAATGAGTAAGAAATCATGTAACCATGTAAAAAGGAAGCACTGAAGTGAACCTTTATCTAGGGGCATTTAGAATCACCCATGGGACTGTGTACAAGCCCTATCCTGGATGAGATTAAAGCAATTGATTTGTGATAAGAGGTTCTGGGAATCTGGATGTTTCTAAGTGATTTGAGTGTTCAGCACGGCCTTAAGGCTCACAGCACTGAGGGAGCTACATTTTTGTTCATCTGGCCATGAGGGCCATGATTCTTTTCATCATGCTGGTGAGAGAGGGGATATCTCTATCTAATGTAACAGCACTGTATGTCCTAGACAGACTTCCAAAGCTGAAATTAGGAGCTCTTATGTGAAAAAGTGCTTTAAGAGAACTATACCTATTCACCTGTTGACATTCATGTGACTGCCAAGTCCCTGTCTTCCTTTTCTTATTTTGATTATTCCCACATGCTCTGCTCCACCCTACTCCCTTTCCCCCTTTACCTGTTGACAGGCAGTTTATTAACATGAGAGCCATTGATAAGTGTGTAAAGCCATGAAAGAGTAGGAAATACTGCATTACTGGCAGTTTTGCTTTGTTCCCAAAGGCTGTGCTTTTATACGTGGGGAACAGCTCTCCCACGGTACAGATCCCACAGAGGGGCCTTTTCCGGTTGTTTGATATCTCCCCAACCTGAGGATGCATCTGCAGAGAGGAATTTCTTATTTAAATAACCTTATACGTGGGTTTTCCCCCCTTGGATTACAAGTTCTTCTCATTAAAAACAAACAGTACAGAAGTGTAGAGAATAGAAAAGGAATTGCCAGTAATCCCTAAGAAATGACTACTCCAAATGGTTGGATATAGGTTCTTCAAAGTTATGTTTTATGCATGTATAAGCAGTGTTTGTATGTGCATGTATGTGTGTATGTAAATAAAAATAAATGAAATGAGAACTACAATGTTCTGAAACTTAGACTTTTTTCTAAACCATATATATTAGACAGCTGCCCAAAAGAACACTCCCAGATCAGCTTCATTCCTATTGAGATTTAGTTTATTACCACAGTTTGATGCATTTAACCAAGACAGGGGTATCTGTAGACAAGTAGGAATTAAAAATATTCAGCCAGTTCTCCTTTGCTTTTTAACGCCTGCCTTTGGCAACAGGTACATAGAATGGTTTTGGCATAGTTTTATTGACCTCCCCTTTACATGGGCAAAGAATACCCTTGATGTGACTTTTTATCCTGTTTGGTATCCAGGTAGCATAACTCATTATTTGAAATGTAACAGGACTGTTGAAATGAAGCACAAGAACAAAGAAGCAAGCATTATAGTTGTTTTTTTAAAGGCTATATTTTATAGTTTTGACAACTATAAGTCTTAGACTGAGAGATGTTTTATCTTGCAGGTTTCCTATTCATTAACTTTAATGTGCCAAGCCTTTATAATTTTTTTTCTCTCCCCCTTCCTGTCCCTTTCTTTCTTTCTTCTCTTTCAGCCACAGGGAACCCTTAAGAGGAGGCAGGAAGGAGACAACTACCAATTTGCAGGCATGGCTGATGGGGGTTACCCTAATAAAGTTAAGAGGCCCTGCCTTGAAGATGTCACCCTTTCTATGGGCCCAGGTACCCATCCCAGTACCCTCTGTACAGAGATGCAGGTTCCCATGTTATCAGTGAATCCTAGCTCTGCAGTGATGGGAGTACCTAATCAGTCATTACTACTTGAGAATAATGCCATGAATGGCAGTGTCACAGGCCCACCATTTGGAGTGCCACCAACCCCAGAAATGGAGCTGAAAGAACCCTCTGCTCCTTGCTATGAGAAAAACAGCCCACCTGCTGAAGACCAGGAACTTCAAGATCTGCTGGAAGAGTTAACCAAAATTCAGGAACCTTCTTCGTCTGAATTAGATCTTGAGAATATACTGGGGAGCAAGCCAGAAGAGCCATTGGTCTTACATCCTCCCCAGGCAACCGTAGGCATGCCCCCCCAGGCAACCGTAGGCATGCCCCCCCAGGCAACCGTAGGCATGCCTCCCCAGGCAACCGTAGGCATGCCTCCCAAGCTTCCAGTTCAGATGCCACAATTGGAGAGTGTTTGTTCCAGCAAGGCTTTTGCTTCGAGTTGCAGCCAAGTCACTGGCGTGTCAGTTCCAATCATGCCCTCCTCCACTGGGATCAGCCATTCTGTTCCTTCCACCAGTAAGCAGATGGTCTCAGTCAGTCCTTCAACAACACAGGCCAAGAACCAGGCCCAGGCCATGCTCCCTGTCACTTTGCCCCCATTACCAGTGCCGCAGTGGCATCATGCCAACCAGCTGAAAGCATTGGCAGCCAGCAAGCAGGGATCTGCTACAAAGCACCCAAGGCCCTGCATCGCCTGGTCTGGCCTGCCTCCTACAGGCATCTCCCCACCTTACCGTCCGGTGCCATCACCACACCCACCACCACCACCACTACCACCACCACCCTTTGGCTCTCAGAGCTTCATGGGACCCTGCATATCATCCAACAGTTCCTCAGGCAGCACTGTGCAAGCCTCGCCCAATGCCTTACTCTCCAGCATGACGTCTGGCAGCAGTGCCACTATGGGGCCCACCTTGCACTATGTTCCTGAGAAGCATCCCAGCGTGGCTGTCAATCAACAGCCACAGTTTGGCCAACAGAGCTCCATTCTTGCAAACCTGGTGTCCTCTGCAATCAAAAGTCCTCAAGGACACCTGATGTCTGCTCTGCCCACCAGCAATCCAGGGCCATCCCCACCCTATCGCCCAGAGAAACTCTCCAGCCCAGGCTTGCCACAGCAGTCCTTCACTCCACAGTACTCTCTGATCAGGAGCCTCCCTCCCACCAGTACTCAGCTAAGTCAGCAGCAGCAGCAGCAGCAGCAACAGCAGCAGCAGCAGCAGCAGCAACAACAACAGCAGCAAGCAAATGCCATCTTCAAGTCCATAACCAGCAATTCATCCAAAACCATGACCATGATCATGCAACAGGGGCTGACCAATTCCAGCCCAGAAGCCCCTGAACCATTTACCTTTGGCAACACCAAGCCATTGTCCCACTTTGTTTCTGAGCCAGGCCCCCAGAAGATACCCTCCATGCCTGCCCCCTCCAGGCAGCAATCCCTGCTTCACTATTTGCAGCAGCCCACACCAGCTCAGGCCTCCTCAGCCACTGCCTCCTCCACTGCCACTGCCACCTTACAGCTGCAGCCACCACAGCCACTGCTGCCACCACCACAGCCACTGCCACCACCACCACAGCCACTGCCGCCACCACCACCACCACCACAGCCTGACCATTCTGCATTCCTACTGCAGCAGATGATGCAGCAATCCCAACGCTTTCAGCGATCAGTGGCCTCAGATTCCATGCCTGCTCTGCCCAGACAGGTAAGAGGATCTCACACCTGGTGGTGTTCCTTTGTTGTGAAATAAGAACTATGTTTTATGCTATTGAAACCTGGCTTTGGAGGGCAAATCCAGGCTATTGTCCTCTCTGAGGCTGGACTTGACTCTGGCAAAGTCTATGTCAGTCATCTAATTCTGCGTGGGTAAAGCAGTGTTAATGAGGCCAAGGTTATGGTTTCAGTGCCTGTTCATGTCGCCCAACTCCCCTGGGAGGAAAGCAGTACTTACAAAGCTCCCAGGAGAAGGAAAGGCAAGAGGAGGACAAGTCAGCATTGTGTAGAAATGCACTGTCTTCCCCAGCACTGGCTGTGCAGCAGAACTTGTGAGGTCTTCTTGGGATGCAAGGAAGTTTCACTGATTGCTGGTATAAGGATGAACACTAAGCCTTCTAGAAATGCCTTAGCAATCACTTGCTGAACAACTTCAGTGTTCCATTCATCACTGTGTTGGACACTGAGGCAGGTGCTGAAGGAAAAAGACAGGCACTAGCAAGGTAGTTAACTCTTACTGTCTCCATTTTACAAATGAAGAAACTGAGGCTCAGAGAGTTGCAATGACTTGCCCAGAGTCACACAGATAGCAAGGGGCAGAGCAGGAACTTAAAGCCAGGAAGCTTTTTTCCAGAACCTGTGCTCTTCTTGAAATTACTTTTGATCCCTCCTGTTCCTTCATCTCCTAGTTTTTTCATTCATTAAATGCAGCTCAGTTTTCTTGGTGGTGTTCATTACATTTCCCACTTGTCATTGCTCTGATCTTTGCCTATACTAGTTATCATCTGCTGTGTAACAAATTATCCCAAAGCACCAATTTTGAACCACATGTGTACATTAGCTCAGTTTTTGTGGGTCAGGAATCCTGGAACAGCTTAGCTGGGACTTCTGGCTCACTGTCTCTCAGAAGGCTGCAGTCATGCAAGACTCCACAAGGAAGGATCTGCTTCCAGGCTCACTCACATGGTTGTTGGCAGGAAGTAGTTCCTTGCAGGCTATGGGGCTGAGTGTTCAGTTCCTCACAAACTAGTTCCTTAACACATATCCTCTTCACAGAGCATCTCACTGCATGGTAGCTGGCTTCATCCAAGTGGGCAGGAGAGAGGTGCCAGCAAGTCAGAAGCCATAGTCTTTATAATAATCCAGTCTATATTCTCTTCATTAGATGTCAGCCAGAGAGATTTTGTGAAGGATGACTACTTGGAGGCAGAGCTCAATAGAGGCCATGTCTCATGTATGCCTGCCCAGAATACTGTTAGTCATGATCCTCTTTTCTATCATTTTATCCTTTCCCAAGTTTGGATCCTCTTGATTCAAAATATGAATTTATGCAGTTGACTCTTAACTAGTTTCCCCCAAAGAACCATCCACTTTTCTAAGAGTTGCCCTGGTCATGTTTCCCACTTGCTCAAAAGTCCCCAGAGGGTCATAGCATGGCCCCCACCAACCTTCTTAGACTCAGTGCCTATGCCTTGTACTTTGCTTCACTAACATCTTAATCCACCCTGTGTAGTCTTAGCCTTGACCCCCTGCTCTTCCCCATGCCTAGCTCTTTCTTCATCCCTTTTCTCTCCTGTCCAACTCCTGTAGTTCCCTAAGGCTCAAGCACTGTGCCATCAGGAAGCATTCTCCTGACTATCCTTCATGCTTCCATTTCCCACATGGCCTCCGTCTTCTATACAGCATTCAAGGAGAAGATGTCTTTAAAGTGCTTGGTCAGGGACCTAACCCAAGGAAAGCTCCAGTGAGGAACTGAACTCCTATTCAAGGATGACCATGGCAGCCCCCTAGAGATAAATAATTTTTTCATCCAGGTCTCATGGAGCCTAACCAAGCAGAGTGCTTGACACCAGGGAATTGATCATTCCATTTATGTACACAGAAGGCAGAGCTCCCAGGGGGGTGGCCATAGTAAGCAGCATGAGGACTGACTCAGCAGGCATGACAGGGCAGACCACCTGGGGACTCAGGCCTTTGTCTGCAGTTGAGGAACACTGTGGTTTGGTTTCATGATAGTGCTGTTGCTATCTGTTTGCATGGACTTCTGCAGCTATCTTGGTGGAGCAGTGGCATCGACTCTGGAATTCTCAGTAGTAAGCATGGCCCTTATCCTAGAGGTATTTCACCATCTAACATTTTGAGCCATTGTTGTTTTGTTTTGTCTGCAATTGGGTACATTCATAGGCTTGGTGCATTGTCCCAGAGCCAGATCACCTGGAATCATGGAAATCACATCCAACCGGTTACTCAGATGGGACTGGAGAATGTTTTCAGGAGAAAGACCAAGCAGCCATGCTCTCTAAGGCTAGAAGCCAAAAGGGGCTCAGAGACCTCTGACAGCAGAGAGAGTCTGGGCTCCCTACATGACATATTGTCAGGAGAATTACCTTCCCAGACAGTGTCAGCCTGTACTCAAGGACTAGACATGGGACTCAGTGATTCACTTGCCTTTTCTCATTTGAATCCTCAGAGGTAACCCACAGTCACTCAGCAAGTCAAACAACACAGAGTCTGGATACAGAGCCCACATTCATACTTCTGTGCATGAGGCATTGCCTCTGGAACTTTCTGTTCCTACCTTCACTTCTTACCTGTTTCCTCTTCTACAAAATGGTGTGATGAGAGGTCATTTGAGGATTAAATGTTTAGAAATCTGAAGTACTTTGGAAAGGGCTTGGCAAAAGGTTTTTATAACCACTATGACTTTTAACTCTTGACCTTGAACCCCCAGATCTGTTTTTCTGGGGCTAAGGTATGAATCTCAAACCAGGAACTTTGTCAGGACAGAATGTGAAAAGCACTTTTCTCCAGCTTTGTGTCTGCCATGAGGCTGACAAGAGTTGCAGGACCTTCCTGTTCTAGGCCATGCCCCCACCCCCCCACCCCCCCCCTCCCCCCCCCCCCCACTCCCCCCCTCCCACACCCCCCACACCCCCCACACCCGCAAGAAACCCAGGGCTGGAAGAAAAAGGAAAGAGCCATGTTCACTTTGCTGTCTCTGCTCTTGCCCCAACTCTCCTTAGCACTCCAATTTCTACATGGCTCTCTTTCAGCCAGAATGCCACAAGCAGCCCCCTGTTCCCTCTTTTCCTTCTCTTGACCTTACCCAGTAACTTTAAGGTCTACAAACTCAGCTTTACATGGCATTTGTTAGCTTGGGGCACTTTTCCTGAGTTACAATGGAGATATGTTTGAATCTCAATCTTAGCTTTTCTACCCACCCCTACCACCATAGGAGGGATTGAAACCAAGGGCATTGAACTTAGGGACAGTTTACTACTGAGCTAATCCCCAGCCCTCACTAGTTACTGGGGGTCTCACTGAGTTGTGGAGGCTGAACTCAAACTTGCAATTCTCCTGCCTCAGCCTCCCATTTCACTGGGATTATAGGTGCGCACCACTGTGCCCAGGTGGATCGTATTTTTTTAAAGGAATAGTTTCTAAATGTGAGGTGAGAAACAAACCCTACAGTAATCAGAAAAGCAAAATTCAGTTGTTTATAGGATCTCATTCTTATTTGCAGGCTAGTATTTCTCAACTTGGGGGAATTTCACTTTACTTGTTGAAATAATGATTGAGTTTCACTGAACCATTCACTTCCATGTCAGGTAAAAGGCAAATGCTTGTCTGGCTTCAGGAAAGCAGTTCAGTGTGGCAGGTTAAACAAGGGCACTGGATGCAGACAGAAGTAGTTTCCAGTCTGGTTGTAGACACTGAGCAATGTTCCTGAACCTCAGCAGCAAATGGGGAAAAAACAGTCTCTAACACAAAGGTGTTGAGAAGATAAAGAAGATGAAATTAGGGACTGGGGCTATAACTCAGTTGGTAGAGTGCTTTCCTTGCATGCACAAGGCCCTGGGTTCAATCCCTAGCACCACAAAAAAATAAGATGAAATTACTCAGGCATACACTTAGGCAGGACCAGTGTAGGCTTGTGGCCTCAGATCTAAAGCCCATGTGGCCAATGACAGTCTAGTGGAGACCATTTGAGACTTGATCACGGTAATATGGTGTAAATCCCAAATACACACAACCCTCCAGTGGAATCTGGAGAAACATTTTATTATTTTTGCAGATAAGCATTCATATTGAAGTCCAGGTCAAATATTGCCCAAAGTAAAATTTGTGACCAGATTTACAAACATAAACTTTAACTTTCAAAGCGTCTTGAAACTTGAAATTACAGTAAAGAGATATGGACCTGGAATTACTGAGAGAAGGATTTTTAAATCTCTCTCATGACACACTCAGAGTGAGTTTGTTCTACTCCAATACTATATCTGCCCCACCTTACCCTCAGACTGGGTGACATATCTGTTTTTAATCAAAGTGAGGTAAAATGAATTTTGTCCCCATGATTTGATACCCCCTCAACCTGAAAACTGTAAGAGATTCTTGAGTGTGTTGCAAAAATCAAGGTTAGGATTTAGTTCATTGGCTACTGGAGAATAGAACTTTCATTTACTTAAACAGGAAAACAAAATCTTCAAAGAGATGGAAGTTGCAGTGCACGAGAGCAGGGATAGCAGGATAGCAGGAGGCTGCCTCTAGCCAGAGGCCCTCAGTGCACGTGCTTTGGAGCCCTGCTCAGATCTGCAGGGCTGCAAGTGAGGCTTCATGGGGAGGAGGGATGTGGATGGTGGCCAGTTGGAATAAGAACAAAAAATCCTGGAATCCGATCCTTGAGGCAGGCTGCGAGGCACAGGGGGAAGAGGGCAGCTGCAGAGAAGTAGACCAAAAGGCACATGATGTTGTTTTGACAAATTCTGAGAGGAGAGAGAGAGGTGAACCCAGCCTGCCTTGGAGAAGCCTGAATTAAGCTCCTACTGGGTCTGCTCTGTTTTCTGTCTTTGACAAGAAGCGTCACATCTCCTTAGCTCAGGCAGCAGTGAGCGCTCAACATTTGGGAAGGCAGTGATCTCACCGTCTGCCCTCCCTGAGGGGCTGTGTCTATGGTGGGGTCCAGGCAGCTTCATCTGAGGTAGGCTCTTG